AATACAGATAAAGTTTCATGTTATGCTAATTCAGTATTGCAATGTTTATTGCACTTAACTGATATCACACAATTGTTTATTTTGGATAAATCAAATGTTTTAGGTAAATTAGCGTATCAGTATAAAAAGGGAATGGCTCAATTAAGTACGTATGCAATACGGCAATATTTAGGAGAATATTTTTCTGATAATATAAAACGAGATGCATTTCAATTTCTCACAGCTCTTTGTGACAAATATGATTATATAAAAGATTCACTTTTGTATAAAATAAATACTATCAACTGCTGCAAAACTTGTAAAAATACAAAATGTACCACAAGTGAGAATATTATTTTTACAATATCTATTAATCATTTGAAGGAGAAAAGTTATAATCTTCAAGATTTAATAAATATTACATTTTTACATTAGACTAACATTGTTTAATGAGCCATGTGAATATTGTGCAGGAAATATGTTATTTAAATATGAATTAATATCGATGCAAAAAATATTTGTACGTATTATATTACAGGATGATAAGTCGATGAAAAAATATAAACTTAATTTATGTGCTGTTCCAACAACCAAAGTATTAATAGCTGGGCAGTCTTATAAGGTCATGAATGCTATATTTCACAATGGATCAAGTATTGATAATGGTCATTATACAAGTATATGTAGAGAAGGAACCTCTAATGTCTGGATTGAAGCTGATGATATGCAAATTAAAAAAAGATCATGGTCAAGAGGCTCTAAGGATATTTATATACTTTTTTTGCAAATAATTAATAAATAAATAATAATATATAATAGAGAAAATAATAGAAAATAATTAAGAAAATGTTTAGTAAAAGTAATAGAAGACCATCTTATGTCTTGAATATGAGATGATAGCGGAGATCTTTTCTACTTTATATATATATATATATATTCCATTTAACTTTCCACATTTTATTTATAATCTGTTTCAGCAAATTGAGAATAAGAATTAATATCTTAATACAACAGTATTGAGACATAATAAATTATTGTTATATATGCAATATTATTTTTTTCATTACAGGATACACAGAGAAAATTGACGACAATATATAGTGATTTGATTTTGATATACTATCTGATATAAAGGAGTTAATGATATTTTACATTTTTCATGTTGCAAATTGATAATGAAGAACACATAAAACAGATGTTTACATAATAATATTAAAATGTATAATAATAATATTAAAATGAAGAGGATTGTCGTATATCTATAATAATATAATAAAAAATAAAACAAGGACGCAGGTAGAAATTATTCTATTCTTTTTGTGTATAGCATTGAATAATATTAAAATTTTGGTATATACGTGTATATATAAAAAAGACAATTGCTAACAATATATAACATCAAGT